GAGGAGGGCACATTCTGCATGGAGCACTGGGTGTTATGCACAAACAATGAATCATGGAACACTTCATCTAAAACTAATGATGTCATGTATGGGGATTAACATAAGAATAAAAAAAAATCCCATCAAGACAAAGTTTATACTGGGACTTGAATCCTTTCACTTTGAATGACAGATGAACTGTGCTTCACTAGTTTTGCATTATTCCAAATGAAATCCTAACTCTCATGAATAGTGATGCACAAAAGACTGACATTACACACTTTGGGTACTTTCAAGTGTATCAGTCTTTTCCTCAAGAGTAATTGAAATGGAGCTATAAAAGTGTGTGCCCAGCTGACGTTTGTAGGGGAGTAGAGACAGCATGAGGAGATACCTTGAAGCCAAAGGCCAGCAAACAAAATTGGCAAGTGAGGTGGGTTTGCCATCCCCCTGAAAGACATGATGCAGCCCAGTAAGGTTTTATTCCTCAACTGAAAGCAAGAAACTTGCTGATAAATCTTTCAGGGAAGGATGGGAAGCCCACCAGCAAAAATGCAAGGGTGACAAGCTCCCAGACCAGGGGACATGTGGAGCAGCAACAAGTAGGGGGGGTGTATGGGGAGAGAGGCAGTTAAAGAGACAGGGGGCTGGCTGTGCAGATGGCTCCACACAATCAAGGATAGCTTTCTAATAGAAGCTTCTACTTACATTTCCGCCCCCAGCAGAATGTTTGATGTTATCCTTGGAACCACATCGGGACTGAACCTTGCTAAAATCGATCTTCTTGTTTAAAATCCTAACCTAAAAGGAATTGGAAGTAACTTCACTGTGCATTTTTCTTTCAGTATGCTGGGCATAGGGAGCCAGAATGGGTTGGTGCCAAGGAGGCTCCAAAATTCCTTCCACCTACATAATCATTTAAGAGAAAAAAACTAACACTGGAATTAAAGAACAGATCTATCATTTAATATGAGCCCTAGTCCCCTGAATCCCCAAGGGCCAAATGCTCAAGAGCTTTAGATATCTAAGTTTTAGGCAGGTGTAACCTGGAAACAATTAGAAGAAAAGAAAAATAAAAGTTGGATTATCTGTGACTGGGAGGTTTCCAATATTGTGGGCAACACTGGGACTCAGTTTCCACTCTATAAAAGGTGAATAGTGTAGTTCAGTATAGTTCTTGCCCTACTCCCGTTCAATCCTACAGTGTCAGCCATCACAATTCTAAATCACCTGGTACACTTGATTGTATTATTGGTCCACCTGGCACAGGTGAGGTTCATGACTGGATGGGCTGAATGCCACAGATGAGGGTTCTCATTCATCCAGCAGAACCCTTGCTTTCCCAAGAGGGTCAACAAGGGGGCTCAGGGCCTCCTCTGCTGAAAGGGCTTCACTATTGCCTTGCAGATTTGGCTCAGTGGTCTTCTGAAAGTCTTCTCGCTGACAGCTGCTCATAAATAGCCATAACCCTTGGATGGTTGGTGCAGAAGCATCCTTTCCATTATTTTAGAGGGGAGCAAATCAAGGGCCACTAGTTAACTGACTTATAGTAGGTCATGTAGAAGTAGTCCAGGCCTCGGCTAGGTCCAAAAGATTTGAGGTTAGGTGTTTTATTTCTATTTTCAGAAAGTTCAGTATTCATCTTGAAGACAATAGCAAATCTAAACCTGGACAGATACTATTCTGGTGTAATGTAATGTGCAAAGTAATAGCTCTTGTGACGATTTCTATGTGTCTTAAATTTTGCATGTTTTGGAGAGCACATGAGCAATGTAAGCATGGAAAGAAAGGTTTATTTTTGTTGTTTGTTTGTTTGATTTTACTTTGGCTACTTCTACTCCTCTCCCCATGTCCCCTTAATAGCTAAAGAGAAATTATGTTTTCAATGCTTTAGGGGAAAGTTTGTCCTCTTATTTTTTTTTAAGATTTTATTTATTTATTTGACAGAGAGAGACACAGCAAGAGAGAGAACAGAAGCAGGGGGAGTGGGAGAGGAAGAAGCAGGCCTCCCACTGAGCAGGGAGCCCAATGCGGGGCTCGATCCTAGGACCCTGGATCATGACCTGAGTTGAAGGCAGACGCATAACGACTGAGCCACGCAGGTGCCCCAAGTTTGTCCTCTTATAAAAAATGCTAAATAAATACATCCTAGATATACAGCCATCTCCAAGAGTGGTATCACATCTTTTGGTGTTTGCAAAAAAGAGTAAGAACTTCAAGATGACATTGACTCCTGACTATTTTTAACCAGACAAAGCTTAAATCGCAATGCCTGTCTGACACTGACAAGAGAGCTTGTCCCTTACAGGGAAATGTCATTGACAGCTCTCATCGGCAGCCCAAGGGAGGGCTTCTTGTCAAAATCTGAAGTCAGAAAACATGATGATTGGGTCACTCTTTAGGGCATGATAAAAATCCCAATTTAAAAAGAAGGGGGGAATATCACAGAGTCTGTATCTAACAATAAATGTAGTGGCAGGCTAAGAATTTCACATAAAATGTAGATGCCAATAACTTTAAGTCAACAAGGGCCATTACATTTCAAGCCTCATAGATAAATTATTTTTAGAAAGCAAATAATTTTATTATTTCAAATAATAATACTTTTAATTATCCTCCATGAGTCTCTATTTTGGCAATGAAATAGAATTCATCTAAGCCATTTTTCCTAATCCTTGGGGACATATAGGGTCTCATATTTCATTTGCAAATTTTAATTTAGAGATCATTAGAGTACAAATCAAGTGACTCATTACCCAGTGATCAAAAGCTAAATGTTAAATCTGATTCACTTGTTGCAAAAATGGAAATTCCAAATTCAGTTGCATGAATCTGTTTGACTCTAACATTTAATCAACTGGCAATTTTTATGATTTTTAAAACAAATGATTCAAACCCCAAGGGGGCACATTGCCAGCATTACTTAGAGACAATTTAAAATTTAAAATCCTAAAACTTAAAGGCTGCCTTCTGTTGATTTTCCCCAGATTTTCTAAAGAATCATAGATTTTCTAGTGAAACAATTAGCTGGCCTTTTTCGATGGGAGACTTTCAATGTCTGTTCAATTCATAACGTGAAGCAGACCTTTGACATGGATTAATGGCATGTTCTTTACATATTTCCATATTTGCAATAGCTTCAGAGTATATTGCTTTTGTTTCAAATAAGGTAGAGGATGACATTCACCATTTTGCTTGATGGCCAAATAGACAGAAATAGAAATCACTTTGGGCACTGGATGCTTGATGCTCAGTAAGATTTATGCTCTAGCCTGACAACTTGCACCTAAGCACCCACCTAGTCCGTGTGATGCACATTTATGCTTTAACAAAATTACAAAATACTTCATGCCAAAGATCTCTGGGATCATTTACCAATAGTTAACACTTGAGAGAGTTAATTCTACAAATACCAGCAGTCCTCAGAAACCACTGCATAAGATAGAAAAATAGATGGCTGCTGTGAAGGATAAAACTTTATTCCAGATTATTATTATTATTTTTTTAAGTCAGAGAGTCAAGTTTTAACTTGACTTTTTGGGGGAAGGAATTTCCATTGAGCTTTTGTTTTCCTGTATGTCAAGGGAAAATTATTTTAACATCTCAGAGATGGTCTAGAAAAAAAATATAACAAACCTTTATTTGATGAACTAATTTTCTATATTCATGATATGGAGGAAAAAATATTTGAATAATCATTATCCAAGGTTAACTCTAAACTACATTCTACCCTTGTCAATGTCTTTCAATCAAAATTTTTAGTTGCACTATTAATGTAAAATGGGGCGATTTGAAAGTATGTGACAATCTTTCCTTCTGTATACTTCACAGTGGAAGGAAAAAATATATTATTTCAATCAAGTGAATCATCTTTCTAAAGCTCTGCCTTGTTCAAAATTCTCCCAAAGTCTCTATTTCCTATTAAACACATCAAAACTTCTTGGGTAGGCAACCGGGGTTCTCAGAAATTCTGATTTTTGAGCCCTCTTCTCAAAACTTTACATTTTGGCCAGACTTTACATTCCATACTTTAAGGCCCTTGTTTACATTTTCAAGTTTGTTCCCATGCTTTCTTTATGTTATTATCTCTTGCTAGAATGCCCTCATTCCAAGTTGAGTCTGGAACTCATCATTCTTCAAGGATCAACCCAATCAGTTCCTCCCGTGGGAGGCTGGCAAAAAAGGATTTCAGTTTCACGGACAAAGGTTGATGACTTGCTTGCATTCATAGTTGGCTTTTCGTTCACATATGAGTCATATAAGCTTGAAGAGTTAAAAAGAATAGGTTAATGTAATTGAATAATTAATCAGAATTATTTTGTTTTACTTTTTACTAATTCTATCTTCCTCCACCATTGAGGGAAGTACAGTGTAGTGACTTTCTGGGTATTTCTGGTGTGACTCTAGTTGGTTTTACAATGATGGTTCAGTTGAAATGATAGGCCACTACACTCTCTGCATGTAAGTTTAAATGCACCTTTAGAAAAATACACTTCTACTTTCCCAAAGCAAGGTTACTCTAAGAAAGGACAGGAAGACAAATGTAGGATATGTCTGCAGGCAAGAACAAATCTCTCTTCCTAGAGATTAGTTGGAAATATGAAAAATGTAAAATGAAAGAAAATGCAATCCTAATTTATAACTTTTAGTAAAACAATTTATAAACCAGAGGCATTACTCACAGTGTCCGCTTGCATTTCTTAAGCAATGGGATTTTGATTTTTTTTTTTTTTTTTGATTTGACACTCTCTGATGCTGCTTTCTTTATCAAAAGACCCACAGGTCAGCTCAAGAGAGTAAGATATGGAGAGTAACTGGGGGTCCAGAAGTTTGGATTCTGTTCTTGGCTCTCCTACAAGACAGTGCTAGGCTCTACAGGCATCCTCTAGGTCTGAACCTCAATTGCTCTATCATTTCTTTCTTCTTCATCCAATGTTGTTTTAGAAAGAATGCTTTTGTTTTCTTTTGAAAGGGAAGTAGTAGCCAGTAACCCTTCAACTTTATCAGAGATTAAGTTTTTCCTTTGGCTTTACATCATTTTTCAGGAGTGCTTAAAATGCAGGCTTTTTTTTTTTTTAAGGTTTTTTTTTTTATTATGTTATATTAGTCACCGTACAGTACATCATTAGTTTTTGATGTAGTCTTCCATGATTCAAAATGAAGCCTTTCTTTGTCCTTGCATTATAAAAACACTTCTCTCTCTCTCCGAAAAGTATTTCCCATTCCATAGCATTCAGTTTTAATGAAAACTATTTATCTATCCTATATAGAGTCCTGAGATATCATATATTAAAACAAAAAAATATATGACCGCATCAGATATTTCTGAAGAATGAAAGTTCCTTGGAATAGATGATGTTTTTCAAAGATTCATCTGTTAGCAGCCCTGTGCTCAGATTAAAATGCATACGAACTTTATAGTCTATTCCAAATTTTAAATAACCCTGCCTATACTGACCAATAACTTCTTCAAAAATCAATGGATCAAATACAAGCAATAAATATATTGGAGTACACATTTAAATAGAAATAACAGTTCATGTCAAAACATACACTTCCACAGAGCTGTGAAGGAAAGGGATGAGTTGGAGGGTCCATGAAGGGGTCAGACAAATTTTTATGCAGGCTATACCACACAGAAAAGAGAACAACATTAAAAACCTAAATCATGCTGAAAATTTTGTAAAGAACTGCTTGGTGGAACAGACATGAGTTTAGACATTGGCCTCATTGTTAAACATTGGCATTACATTTTTTTTTCTTCAGTTTAAATTTCTAAGAAATTTTAAAGAATAGAGGGC